GAGGTCCCAAACAAGGGAGGAGGTATAGTTGAAGTTGGCACCAGAATATTTTTATACTATGGGGGTGCTCGTCTATTGAGTGATAGTACTCTCAAATAGAGGATTATCAATCAATGCACTGACTGCCAACACCACTGACGCAGTAGCATAGGCTACCTTTATGCGGATATTCACACAGACGCACAATCGCAATCGCAAGCATGAACACACATGTTATCAAACATTGGGAAGTTCTTTCAATTTTAAACAACAGATGGAATTTTAGGTTGAAGGCAAATGTACAAGCCTGCCTACATGCACACTTTAGAATGTAAAAGTAGGCATAACTGAGTCCGTGACAGGGTCTGAACACACGCAGCAAGCATTACATTTCATTTAATGCGTACTTCACCCTCAGATACTTAAATCAGACAAACTCAGCTGCCACATTTCAGCTTATGAAGCTAACATTACAACGTTCACATTATTCTGTTCCATATTGCTTGTATGAATGAGAAACGCAGAGAAATAAGTATTCACATGATTTCTGCATGTGGGCTTCACACACACAATCAATTAAATTAATAAACGGCAGCTAGAAAAATCAAGCAATCCATCTTTTGCTGTGGTTAAGGGTGAGGGCATCAAGGACTTTTTTGCTATCCAGGGCCCTTTTTCTTTTGGTGTTGATCAGCAACAGTGCTAGGTTACTAGTTTGATAGTCTTCGCTGCATTTCCCCAAATAGGTTTTGTCAGAACTCCCAGTGGACCCTCAAGGGAATTACTACCTATAGGCCTACAATTGTCAATGCCATAATCCTCAGCAAAAGACGTGGGCAGGTATTCTTTTAGATTTATCATCACTCTCGTTTGCAGTTTTTGATCGAGTCTGTGCACCTGCGGACGAATACTTAACAATCTATTGCGATACACCCTCGTAACTGATGTCAAACTAGCGTAGACTTTAAAGTTGCGTTTTGCTCAAGTGGAAGTGTATTAAGGTCCAAGTATGATATATGCTCCTTCTTTGGCCAAATCTTAAACACCTGTTATGGCTTTTCTTGAAGAATAAAATCTTTATCCTTGTTGAAAGGTGGCAATGGTAGTGCTTTTTCATTTTAGCCATTTCAATTTTACACTTTACTCTTACAATATAAACACCATTATGTTTTGAATAAGACTTACTGTAAACTAAGCGGCAACCTACGATGTTGAAAAATGAAGCCTATACAGAAGTGCAAAAACTGCAGTTCTTCGAGTAAGTCACATACACACCTCATTCAAAAATGTGTTTTTTTTTCGCATTTTTCGCAACGCCTCTGTTTTTTTTTTATGAATGAACTCAATGCTACATAAAGGAACATAACTGACCTGACTGACAGGCAGGTGCCTCAGCTCCATCTCTTAACCTGTCATAAGGTTGACTGAAAGTTAGGTTGAGATGGGATTTCCAGCATGGCAGCTTCAGCCGAAGAGCCTCCAGAACCCTCTGCAGTAACAGATAGGTGATGTCACTCAGGCTTTGTCCTTTAAAGGGGCTATACGTAACTTTTAACATGTATAAATCGTTTTTTATCGCCCATTAATAAGTAAACGGTTAACTGAAAAAGTAGATGTTCACTGTCTATCTGTGTTGCCTGTATAAAAAGTTTCCCCGGGTCGTATTTTCTGCGAAAGCTCCAGGAAGTGACATTTTATTCATGTTCTCAACGTCCTCCTCACTCCGCTCCGCTTTCAGAGATCAACAGTACAAACTCATCACACACTCCCGCTCTCAGCCAGTGCCTGCAGAGACTGTCGTTTGAAGGATGGAGAATGAATACAGACACACAGACTCCTTCACAGACTTTCACATGACCACTTACCTCCTCTGTAAACATTATGCCTGTAAATATCCAGTGTTTCACGGCCGATGATGATGCTCGTTTTTGTACGTATGATGAGCACGCGAGGGAGAGCGAGCAACAGGTTACTGGTGCAGTTTGCCTAACGGCCATGTGGTATCACTACAAACGCAGTATTTTTGAAATTTACATATAGCCCCTTTAACATTTAGGCCCAGATTTACAAAGATCCCAATTAAAAAGTACTAAATTGCGTGTTCGTTTCAACAAATTGCACGTTTGGTTGGTGGCCGTTTTGCAGGTGATCTACTAAGAAAATTTGAGTGACTGACACCAGGTGCAAACCTTGTGGAGGCGGTACTATTTAAGTTAGGTTTTTGCGTGTTCTACTGGTTTACGTCACGGAGAGTTTGGACAGAAAGCAGGATGACTGCAAGCGCAAAATAGGTATCAGTGGAAGAGGCATTAAACGTACAGTATTTTCGAGTTATAACAGATAAAACTGAATATTACAAAAAGAAAATATGGCTTAAAGAAAACCTCGGCATTAAACAAGGCCTCTCTTTTCTTCCCTCCATCTTTTGAAGATGAATTGTCATACATTGCGCAGAAGGTGCGAGCTGTCTCCTCTGTGGCGCTCAAGCGCGACACTCGGCACATTGTTGCCCACAAGACAGGTGGCCAGTGCTGTGTCTGATCGGACATAAATGCTCTGGCAAGAGGTTTTGAAGATGGGGGTACAAGCAGAGGTGAGGTCCCCCCATCCAAGCGTAGCGGCAGCGGGCTGTAGAGGAAGGAGACCTTCGCACTATGGACAGGAGAGCACCAGAGTGCACGAGCTGGGGGACAGACGCGCAGCCCGAGAAAAAGGAAATCCCCAGTTTAAAATATAATGTTGGCGAAATGAGGGAAATAGGAAGAAATAAATGTCAGTGTTGAAATTCTTTAGAATGAAGAGGCTGTGAATGTTCAACTTTGTTGGCTATACATAGGCAACAATATAGTTTAATCATGGTGTTTCCTGCTCTCGTTCCAAACATATTAACATGTGTGGGGAATAACGCGATCTGTATGCCTTCTTTGATTGTGTCTCCTCCTACAATAACAGCAGTGTATGCAATTGTGCATACAATTGTGTTATGCACAACACCTGTTGTGCATAACGCTGGTCTCCTGGGTTAGCACGTTCTTTTCAAAGGTGTTAAATTCAGACACCGTCACAATCATGCATTTTCTCCTCCCAGTGTTTTGAACGCTAGAGCGGAAACGCCCCATATCGTATATTCATTAAGGCATTTAGGTACTAAATGGACAATGTGTGTTGTTTTGCTCATATGAAAGACGCAAACCTCACTGCCCGCCGTTAGTAGATCAGACGGTGGTATCAAGTTTGCACACGTTTTAAGACACGCAAACCTTTAGTAAATCTGGCCCTTACAGTCTAAATGCTCTAAACTGTGGATTAGGGACCATTGTCTCATCAGGGAAATGTTAAATAAGCTAATCAGCAGTTGGCGCATGTTGTCCAATAGAAACGCTGATTAAAGACCAACCACATTTGTTTTTCTTGACATCAAGAGGTCAAGTCTAATAAATTAACTACTGCGACCTGCACACTTTCAATTTAAGAGTATGTGCACTGTGGGAACCACAGGAATGAGTCCTAAAACCCTGAAGTACGTTAGCATTTGAGCGACATGGGGTATATCGTCTCAAAGTAAATGGGAATTTTGAATGGGTTTGTGGTTAGACGCCTGAAATAAGGTCTGTGGTTCACACAAGCTTAAGAGATATTCACATTTTGTTAGTTGACATAAACTACATTAGATTATACCCCTACTTGTGAATTTTGAAGTTTTTAGGCGTCCTTAAAAAGGCGGTTGCTAACAAGTGGCTAAATGAGTACAGTCGTTGTCAGGGACATTAAACATCATCACGCCAGATACAAACGCTGGGAACTCTCTCACCAGTCCGCCTTACAGCCTCTAGTCGTGTTTTTCAGTGCTCTTGCAAAATCTTGCAGATTTATCAACATATAGGCAAATATTAGGTTAATAAACAATTTATAAAGCTACGGTTTCGCTAGTCTTTCAAAATGGCTAATTAGCTTATCGGAGATCGCCTGAAGCATAACGGTAGTGACGTCAATATCATCCGACCGTGGTGTAGTTCGCCATAGCATAAGGTTAGCTTTTTACTTCTGTCGGCTGCATTAACGGGACAAACATCATAAAAACAGTACGCCTATGCATAAGAAATGTGTGTTTGCCACAGAGCTTATTTTCCGCAACAATCCAAAATCCAATGAACGAATTCTCAATAGATCCCACAGCGATGCTATTTCCTGGTTGGCCTTCAAAAATACGTCATTTGGTTTGTTCTCTATGTCCAGCATGTAGCGCTGAATGTTGCTACAGTTGCATCTCCAGCAATAACTGAGATAATCAGGATTTCTATCTACATCGAATTTTAATTCGGTAATATGTGTTATATAAAACTCAACTGTACATTAAATCGGCCATTTCAATTGTAGCCTATACTAAAATATATTTTCTTCATGGCAATATGAAATGACTTCATAATATGTGTTTATTATTTTTAAATCCTTACAAAACAAAGCTTTGTAGCCTACACCAAGACCACATCACAATTTAAGAAAATGTACTGGCTCTCATCAAAGTGTGCGAAAACAGGTTGTAAGCAGTGTCCTTGTAACAGTGAGTAAAGTCCCAAAATCAATCATAACGACATCTTAGAATTCCAATTTTTTGGGGGGAGAAAAGCAAATAATCTATTGCCAGTCTTCCTAAAGGACCTGGCAGTAGTTTTAAAGTGCAGAGCATGTACCCGGCGTGCCTTTCCCCATCTTCCCCCCTTCTCTCCTCATGTTTCTGAGGTCAGTAAACAAGAAGTGTGTGTTTCCCTTTAAGGAGCCCCCACCGTTTGCAGAGCGGAGGGAGGAGCGGCAGGTCTGCGGAACAGCGGCTGAGGAGGGAAAAAAAAAAAAAATCCAACAGAGGACGGTTTCAAGTCCCCCCAATAGAAACTGTGCCTGATTTGTGGCCAATGTTGGAGATGTAAAAAAAAAAAAAAAAGTAGAGAAAAGAGAGGGAGGGAGAGGAGAGAGAAGGAGGAGGAGGGAGGAGGAGGAGGGGAGGAGGAGGAGGAGAAGGGGGGAGGAAAAAACACTAAAGGGGTAGCTATGGAGATGGAGCGTTTTCCTGGCTGCTTTCTTTGACAGGTGTTGAGTGGGGCAAAAGTCTTAAAACAGAATCCAGCATGTACGCCAAAGGTAAAGGAGCTGTCGTCCCTTCCGATAGCCAAGCGAGAGAAAAGTAAGTGAATTATGCGCTTTATGTTTGAGTTTACCTGCTTATAATGCAGGCGAGGGGGGCAGAGGAGGGGAGTCCAACTTTCGAAACTAGGTACTGTAATTTAAAAGGAGTGTACTGCTGGAAAGTGCGCTTCAGCGTGCGGTTTCCTCCTCCCCTCTGACCACCTTAGAGGTGCGCCTTTTAAACTTTTAAAAAAATTAATTTGAGCTCTTGTTTGCACTTTTGCTTTTATGCACTGGATATGGTATTATTCGTGCATTCACACTTCTTCCTCTATATTCTAACTCTATGTAATATTTTGCAACGCAGTGATGCATTTTTTTTGTGGTCCTGTTACCTTACTGTCTGAAACATGTTTCTGCAGCATTTAAAGTAAAAGAAGCGGGTTTTTATTTCAGTAGTACATGTTTTCTGCTGGAGGGGGTGTGGGGGGTTCATACACTCGGCTCTGTACGGACAGCCTGCTCGGTTCACTCTTGTAAACTTTAAGAGATGAAGCTGCCGGATGGCTGGATTATTTTGTGTTTAACAAAGAGACACGCTCAGCTTGCTCGGGTTGTTTTTCTGTGTTTTTGATGCTCATTGCGGGGCGCAACCTGGCGATGAAGGGGAAAAGTTTGTCCCGTTCAGTAGTCATACAGCGGTGGTAAACTTTTTTTTTTTTCTTTTTTTTTTTTTGCATCCACTCACATGAAGGAGAGTCATGCTGCAAAGAACACGAAACTTTTTTTTTTTTTTTCTTTTAGTACGGCATGTTGTTTGATTGATTATTGTGTCTGGAAATATTGCAGAAAAAAAAAAAAAATCCCTGTTGGGTGGTTTTAAATACGATGCAATTCCGTCATGCTTCTTGCGAGGTTTAGCGTTTTGATTTGTACGTTTTCTCGCAATTAAAGCACACGTGTCAGTGCATGCTTTAATAAATGTTTATCTAATGTTTGATGTTACTTTGCAAATGTGGCTGCCCCTTATGAAAATGTGGAGGCTGCACTATACTCCCCACGCCTGCTCTCTACTCCAATGCTGCTCAAAATATCTCTGTTTGGGGCCATTCAAAGATGTGGACCTTCTTTGCATCCCACCTCTTCAGATCGGTGCAGTCTTTTATCAGCATTATAGCTATTTTTAAGCTTTAAACAGTCAGAGGTTGTAGGAGCCAGAAAAGGATCCCTTCTGAGATGCAGTTGTAATCTCAAAACACTGTCAGGTCCCGAGAGGCTGTGCTGTTACACACATCATACATCTGTAATAGAAACAACATTTCTTTAGAGACTCTCTAGTATTTCTTGATTCATTGCCGTGTCACATTCAATTGATTAAGCTTTCTAGAGATTCTGCTCGCTTATGTGCTTAGTGTAATCTTCCTCGAATACTTTGTACACTTCTGGTGCCACAAGCGTTTAATTTCACTCAGATTATTGGAAAATTGAGAAGCACTATGTGTGTATGTGTGTGTGTGTGTGTGTTTGGGTTGAGGAGTGAATCCTAAATGAAAACAGTCCCATGTGGTTTAATGAACAGCAGGCAGAGTGACCTTTGAACCAGCATATGATGCTTTAATATTGCATATGAACCATCAGCAGCCAGACGCTGCTTGTACACCTGTTTGTGTGCGGAAGCTTCATCACTTTATTTACAATATTTGGAGCGCAGTAGATTATTTAAATGCCTTGTTTTTAGTTGCTTGTTCAGGCAGCATGAATTATGTTCCATGTGTCATTGGGAGTGAAATCTGTGCAGAGGCAGCATGTATTTCAAATGATAGTGTAGGAGGAGGATTAATAATTTAACTCATAAGAGATACAAGTCTTTTGAGGAGTGGGAATGATGAATGCTTCTGAGTTTTGTCTGCTTATGAAAAGCAAAATCATTCAGTGTATTTATTTGAGTTTGTTTGTTTGCATTTGTCGTATGTATTGGAAACTCCTCGGAAAGTAAACATCTCTCTTAAATTCTGTGAATGCGATTAGCTACATTTCTCTGTGTGTGTGTTTCAGCACGTCACAGGTTGTCCACACATAATGGACAGCGCTTGCCTTCTCCCCTTCACCTGTCTTGTCAAGCTAACCTGCCCTGCAGGGCCAACACATGTTTCCTTGTAAATGTGGAGCTCACAACAGCTGCCTCAATGCATCACTGAATTAGCTCATATTCATATTTACATATTCATACAGATCTTTACATATTCAGACACTAAAGAGAGGGCGCCCTGGATGGACTTGAACACGGTTAAAGCAGACTCAGTCTCACAGTCTGACAGAATCACAGCTTTGAAAGATTGATTATCTATTTGTAAACTCAAGGAATTAAAGAATAGTTCTATTTATGATACATTTAATTCATCTCCTGCTTAATTTAATGAAGTAGGTTGGAATCAGTTTTGGTCGGTTGTTTGGTATTTGAAAAAATAGGAATGCAAATTTAAAATACTGAAATGACTGCATTATCAGCTGTAATGACACATCGATCCATGGGTCACAGGAAGTTTTATTTGAAGGAGCCTGATGTGAGTGTTTGCCGATTTACCGCTCTTATTCTTTTGAGAGTCTAAGGTATACCATACAGTTACACCACATTTGTTAAAGTAACTCACAACAGAGTAATGGGGACTGGAGAAATACTTTATTCGTCCATCTTAGTTTTTTCCTTTATTAATTGAAAGCAGTGTGGACAGAGCATGTGAGACACCAGACTAGACGCAGATGAGCATATCATTGTGAAATGATTTACTCATACTGTATTTCAATATGCAGCTGAAAGCAGTCAGTAAGCAGTAACAAATAGGTTGCCGAAGCTTTTCAGGGAAAGTGGATTAACCTCTGTGTAGAAGTTTTGGACAACCAAAAGAAACTGTGCTACATATTCTATAGTGTTTGTTATAGCACCAGACATATAGCCTATACCTTCACATTGGCCCCTGGTAATAATGATATCAAGAGTTTAATTCAGTGAGGGTATATTCAGATGTGTAGTTGCGTGCTGTATATATTCTTCTGTGAATGCAAATGCATTGAAAGGCTAAAACCTAAAAGAGAAACCCTTAATAAACGATGTGCCTCTATACGGTACGATGTGCACGTCCTCCTGTGTTTGAATGCTTCAGTTGTCCACCACCTGAATAGTTTACAGTATAGTCCTCAGTTTGCTACACATGTTCCAATTTACAAGCTCAAGTGTGCATTTAAGTGTGTTCACCACATTGCTCAAAACGGTGTGTGGAGAGTGGTGTTTTTATTTCCCCTAAAAACCTTGAAACCAAGGCTTGAATCCAACCAGTGTGTAAAGAAACACAACATAAAGCAGACGCTCACACATACATTTCACACACGTGGATTCCTCCACACATCCAAGGCCTCGCTGCACTGAAGTTTTCACTCTTCTGATTCATTGTCTGTCACAGGTTAAAGGGCCGATGACAGAGGAGTGAGGGGCGATCAGATGTTTCGTAAAGAGAAAAGATGATTATAAAATAAAGGTTGAGAAAGAACTAGTGGCCTTATGACACTATGAATTATTTATCATATTTTTTCCACTATTGAATTGAGTTGAATTTGAACAGGGGTTATACAGCAGCTTCACTTTTTTTCACTTACTATTTAGTTAGTGGAACCTTTATGAAACAAACACTGATGAATCAGACATCTTAATTAAAGGTGCCATTCTCAAAAAAACATTGTAGCTTGTATCAAACATCTCATTTTTAAAGGCACTTTCTTCGTTTCCAAAGCATTCTGCTCCATGTGTCTGCTTTCTCATCCTCCGTGTTTGTTTACAGACATATCAAGTGTTGCTGAATTTGTTTGGGAAAAGAGCTTCAGCTTCAAGAACTTCAAGTTAATCAGTTTGTTTTGAACACGGGCGTCTTTACATCCTCCACTCCTCCTCTGGCTCCTCCCATGTATTTACATGCACTTTAATGGGGATCTTCAGGTCTGAATGCATGGTTTTGATTTTACACAGATGGCTCTGCCATCTGCATTTTAGCCTTTTGAAGGCAGCATAAAGAGCTTCACACTAACATAGGCAAGAAACACTGCTCTAAAAGTAAAGAAACCCTTGATTTACCCTCGGCACCCTTTGGCTGACTGTGCTCCATTCAGATTTGTCAACAGTCAATTAATGCCGCCTTTCGTCAGCTGCTTTGGGTGCATCCGCACAAATTTGTTAGTTTTCTCGCTTGAAATAACGGAGAGTATAAATATTGAGGCTCGTGCCTGAAGTTGTTAATCAGTTTGGCAACACAGTGTACAGAGAAGTGTGTATGCCTTTTAGGAGCACACAGAGAAAGTAATCTGCCTGAGCAGAGAAAAGGTGAAGAAGAATTCATGTGTGTCTAAAGATAAAGAAAACAGATGAGTCTCTCTCCGTAGTTTGGATCATTTTTGTGAGCTGTCTTCATTAAGTGCTGTGGGATGAGGCTCAGGTGATAACAAAGCTATGTGAGCTATGTCAACAAAATCTTTAATCACAAATCGTTAGAAATCTCCCTCCTCTGCCTCTTTTTCTGAAAAGTTGCTCGACAGTTACAGTGTGAGGTCAGAGGGCGTTTACAGGTGAGCCTGTCATCAGGTAACCTCACAGAGTCAAGTAGCTGCTGGTAGAATGTGAGAGGAGTGTGTGTGTGTGTGTGTGTGTGTGTGTGTGTGTGTGTGTGTGTGTGTGTGTGTGTGTGTGTGTGTGTGTGTGTGTGTGTGTGTGTTAACCCATGGCTAAAGCCGTGTGTGTTTACATGCCTATTGACACTGATTTGTTTTGACAAAGGAGCTGCCATAACAAAGCCAAGCAAACATAAACAGTGAGAGTGGGGGGAATAAGCTTTAGTGCAACAGCTTCACAGTATCACAGGTGTCTCCATCAGACACCGCATCTTTCATTCAACTACAACTCGTACATCACTACTGCAGAATCAGATCTATACTGTCTTTATCTGATGTTGATAAATATTAAGATTAGGGAAATGTTTTTTTTTTATCCTGTGGCTTTTCAGTGCACAGAATAATGAGTTATAAATTGTAGGCTATATATTTTTACACTGGCCCTGCTTAATCCTCTTCCATCACTTCCTCCTTCCATATACCTTACCTCAGCCGGCCCTCCTCTTGCTGCTGAATTATTGAAACAAAGACATGAAAGTTAATTTGCTAACTGTCTGTGCTTTAGCTGGCTAAACTCAGCTGAGATGCCCTTGTCTCTGGGGGCAAGCCGGGGAAAAGGGAAGGCCGGCCAGGGAAGCCTGGGGCTAAATGTCAGGTGTGTTTCCCGAGGACGAGGCAGTAGCAGGAGACATCTCCTTGATGTGTAGACACAGAGCAAAGTGCTAGGCTGCATGAGGTTAGGGTCAGGAGAGAGAGGAATATCAGAAATGAGGGAGCAGATTGTTATTTCTTCAGATACAGTCTGACAAGTTGCTTTATGGCAAAAAAAAAAAAACACTGTGATCTTATAGCTGAAGAAGGGAAAAACAGAACTCAGTCGCCCTGCTTGGATTTGTGGCTTTATATCCTTCATACACAGTGAAACCCAGGTCGAATGCTCCCACTCAGACTGATCTCCTGCTATCATCAAGTGTTTTTCTTTAGCCTATTTATATGTTAAGTTTTAGTTGAGAGGAGAGAGTGAAATGTGCAGCAAAGGAAATGTGAGATATCGTGGACAGTGTTCGTGGTTTGTCTTGTTAAGTATCTCATCTTTTATTCCTGAGTGACATGTGTAGCTTGCATAGGGTTCACAGGAAAAGGAGTTCAGCTTCTACAGAGAGAAAACATTCCTGGCCCTGACCCTCAGTCTCCCTCTGACACAGCTCTCCTGTACAGTACAAACCCCTTCTCCTCCCAAGTTTCCTTCATCCACCTGGCTCGTCCTCGAGCTCTGCTCTATCAGACCCCCCCGAGAAGTCTCCTCCTCAGCTGAGTTACGCTTACTAGTTCTGACAGAGTAACAAAAGGTGTCCCCCGAAGCCTGGATTGAATGAGTGTTTTTAAATAATGCATCGGAGCCATAGCAGGTGCCCATCGTCAGGGCACCGTGCCCCTGAGATCACGCCAGGCCCTGTCATGAAAATTTCATCGCCACAGCGCTCATGGGAATCTCAATTGTTTGATTCAGTACAGTGTAGACCGGTGTTGAGCTGACGTCTGCCGCTTGGAATTTGACTCTGCAAAGACATATTTAATCTAATGGGTCTTTACTTTACCTGGAATTCTACAAATGTAAACATCCCATGAACTGCTCAAGCTGAGCTCAGCTAAAATATAGATATATCTATATGTCAGCCCCTTACACACACACACACACACACACACACACACACACACACACACACACACACACACACACCACACACACAACAAAAACAAGAAGATACATTGGTAAGTGTTAAAGCCAAACTCAACTATAACTTTATGATTTGACTCTCTCTGTAAGGTGTGTGAGAGATGAGGTCAGTGTGGGCTTCTTTGCTCAGCTTTCACTCTGCCTGAGTTTTGTATAGGTGAGATTGGTGGTTTCACATGAGGGACCTGGGCCTGGATCGGAGTACACTTGATCCCAAAGTCAGGTTAATTTGATCAGTGTGTCCACAAGAATACCCGACGCGGGAGATGTGGACGCAAATGGGCTCAAACAAGGAAGTGGGCTGCAATATGATGTTGTAATCGTGCAGCAAGCGCCACATTAGCTGTGGAAGTAAGAAGAGGGTTGTTGTTGGCGTCTCTCAGCAATAACAAAAACATCTATAGTAGCAGGATGGACTCCATTGTCCGCATGAGACATAAACAAATGTCACACAGTTAATGATGCGAGTGGTTGCCATGGTTGCTTCTTCTTCCTTATGCTTCCCGGCTGATTTGAAAACCAACTACGTGCATACTGCCACCAACTGTATCGGAAAAATTATATCACTAATGTGAAAGCAGACCAGCGGGGGAGGGGGAAGCAATCGTGGTTGGGCACGGTACAAGACAATTGTGCCTAATGCGAAAACGCCCTGAGAAGCATCAGGCCTTCTTCATGTTTACCGTTTTAGAGCATGTCCAGTAGAGTCACACTCCAGCAGAGCCAGTCAAAAGCACAAGTGTCTGAAGCTTTTGCTTACTGAGCCAAGAGAAGTTGAATTACCTGTGGCCACACCAAAGTCTTATCACAGTCCAGCTTCGATGTCATGCCCTTTTTTATCAAGGGAAAGTAAAGTCACTTGTTCTTTTAAGATTATTTTGGGGCTTTTTTTGCTTTTATATATGACACAATAGCTGACATAAGACAGTAACTGTGGGGCGATAGAGTAGGGGAAACCATGCACCAAGCAGAGAAGGAACCAGCCACCACTGTGATGAGGATTTTAACCTCTGTACGTGGGGCACCTGCTCCACCAACTGAGCTAAACCAGAACCCTTTTGCAGTCACTTAAAAGTGTACTTATGTTCAATTTTTTCCAGTTTTAAAATTAAATGTCTCCCCATGTTTTAAATTAAAACATATATTTGTATATTGACTAAAATGTAACATTAATTACAGATATCACTTTTTTTATATAAAGGAGCTCATATATTTAAATGGCATAAGCACAGTATAGCTGCCACCAATTTTTGAGATTGATACCAGCACTGATTGTAGAAAAAATAAATCACAGGTAGTCCTGGTGGTTGATTTTGAGATTTTTTGAGCTGTAATGGAAAATATATTTTCCTTATGGTTGGGCCTTAATTAGTATGACAATGCAAATACACTCAGTTGACAGATTGACAGTCTATATCAGTATTTAAAAATATGTAAACACAATAGACTGTACCAACCTATGCTCTGTAGGTCAGGTGCTGCAGATTGTTGTTTACAATGGGGTCAGATCATTCTCTGCGAGAAAACCTTTAAAATTGTTTCAACCCATGTTCTGAAAATTGTTTTTATCAGTGCATGAACTAGATGTTTAAGGTGGCAAATTACAGTAATATTTCGCATTTCTCTTGATCTTGAATGATCTCTAATTTCACAAAACCTGCTGACTTGTGGGGCCAAACCTGAACTCTTATCCATAAACGTGTGAACAGAAGCCTCTGAAGTGGACAAATCACACCGAACTTTAGTTTATTGTTGTTATATTTCAGACAAAGCATAATTAAACATTATAGATTGTTCCGAAACACAACACTGATGGCTTTCACCTCGCAACACCTGGACAGCTGCTCGATTTGAGATCAATAATAAGAAGCTGTTTGCCTCATGCTTCTCACAATCTTTTTTAGCATATGCACACAATGAGTGTGTCTTCATGAGAGATAAAACAAACACTGAACATCCACTATAGTCACTATATCTCCCTAACAAACACACACACACACACACACACACACACACACACACACTGTAGTCAAAAACTCGGTTCAACTATGAATCCTTAGTATCTAGATATGTGTTGACACTGTGTATCTGGAATCGGGTTTGATACATTTATTTCTTATCAAAGACTGGGAAATAGAAGAGGTGCATCTTCTGCCTAATAGTTGAAGCTGTTTTGGATCAGATGTGAAGATCATTTTCCTTTAGCAGATGATTGTGAAGACATTGCTTGGATTTTCAGGGAGAAGATAAGGAGTCAGGTCATCTTATTTTTCATTTTTGATTAATTCAGTGTCATCAGGCTTCAACCCCAAACATCATAACTCTGTGAGTCTACTCCAGCCTTGACACATGTGATCAGCATAAAAGAAGTCGCCTCAGTTCACAGAAACACATCAGCTCCCCCTCTGCTCTATTTCAGACCTGCAGTTGCATGCAGATGCTGTGACGACTGTCCAGGCAAGAATCAGTTGTCAAATGAGGACTGGGTATTAATTTGAATAGTTGAGATGTTGATTTGAATTTTCCTGCAATTTCAGTAGAAAACTTTCTTGTTGTTTGTTACTTTATTGGACTTTTTGAGTGTTGACAAGCTGCAGTACTCTGGATCTCTAAGATCTTAAACCAAAGAGAGCCATGAACTTGTCTCTTCAGAAAATCACACTCTATACAGGGTAGCCCAGGATACGATACAATACAATGTGATGTGACATGATGCCATACAATGGGCCCATGATAACAATAATACTATGCTACAGCAATTCTGCGATACTTGATATATGGCTAGGCGATCAAATAATGATGCATCATTATATCTGATTAACTTAAGAATGCAAAATGTGAAAAGCATGTTTATATAAGCAATCCCACTGTGAGTGAACTGACTTCACTTGCTACTCTATTTTGATACTTTTATCATCAGAAATTGTGAACTTTCGACTGGGTTTTTCTACAGGCATCAACATGTTTGTGACACCTAAGAAACAGGTATTTTACAAGCTGTTTCGTAACACCTGGGATTCTGACTTTAGCCCATGTCTGAGGATATTTCCCCTCTGTCCATGCTTCTCTCAGTGTCTACACTGGTTTTGTTTTCAGCCTCTTTGCTTCAACAGCAGAGTATCTTAAACCACAGAGATATGGCCGAGTGCCATGGAGGCTCTTAAGCTCAGAGCTGCAGAGCTTTACATCACACATTTACAACCCCTCCACAGTCTGCATGATATTCACAAAGTTATATCTTGTTTATGAAAGCTCCATATGAAATAACACGGGTGGGTTTCTGCCATTTGTGCACATTTGTGCGACTTAAGTTGAAGGGCTATTGTGTTTGCAACAAGTGCGTTTTATTTTACAAATCTATCACTTGAGAAATGAGAACATTTGACGAACAAACAGAGTGCATTGCAGTCCTTCTAATTTCTCTTTTTCTCTCTTCTTCTGTTTTCCAGGTTAGCTTTATACGTGTATGAGTATTTGCTGCATGTCGGCGCACAGAAATCTGCACAGACCTTCCTGTCAGAGGTAAGATGTTCTTTCAGCTTAAGTTCCTGTGTGTGTGATTCCCCTCTATTGTATTAGCAGGGATGGAATTCACATTATAAGTTGTTTGGGGTTCAAGCAGCTGTTAGGCAATCTTGCTAAAAGCTCCAGACATATATAACTCTGAAAGTATTAATACTTCAATAAGCCAAGTCTTTTTATTACTGCACAACTGCAATGTTCTTTTGACTGTTTATTAATTAGACACAATGTAAACATGACATCACTTGAGCTACCCAACATGATTACCCACCCTTGTTATAGCTCTAATTTGTAATCATAAACATTGTGTAATTACAGGACTTTGACATATTGTAAGTACATGTTGTTGCTGTGACATGGAGTGGAGCCAGTCCCTGCCAAGTTATCTTTAATATTTGAAACCATTCCAAACAAAGCCGTTTGTGCCCCAGGTCTGCTTGACTTATTATCGCAGACCCCTGAACTGTCCAAAAGGCTAGGTCTCTAACTTGCTGCATCCTTTACCTTAATGGACAACATCCTTCCTGCCAAAGGTCCGGCCAAAGGTCCTGCGTCCAGGACGTCTCCTGTACAACACCTCTCCGGCCCAAAGCCTTTATTCATCTTTGTTAATACCGTCCCCTACACTGAGAGGGCTTAGATAACTAAAAAGACAGGAAGACAGTCATTCACCTTAAATACTGGCATCATTCATCAGTCGTTTCTTAAGGTTATTTCAATGTAGAGAAACGGTAGTGAGCTACACACTTTCAACATGTGGTTCAACAGGTCATCTACTAGCAGCAGGCTTTGATAAAGTTAGGAAGAGCAGATTTCAAATCAGCTGTTCTATTTCTTAGTCACACATTTTTGTTGTAAATGTACTTATTGGCCTGCTAGCTGAGTGTGAAATAATTTCATGTATTTTAGTAAATAAATAAAATAAACACATTAGCAAGCAACTGCTTAGCTTAGCTTAGCATAACCCCTGGAAACTGTTAGCAGTACTGTCCAAAGTTAAAAAGTACATCTAAACCCACTTCAAACACTTTACTGACTTTGGAAAACTATAGGTTGTTTTATAATAGTGATGTCCCGGGCTATTTCTCAGTCACAAGCGGTATCTTTCTGGTATTTTGTCTCTTCCAGGCTAACCTGTTTGGCAAATTAATTTTTTGTTAAAATATAGAATAAATCATTACTAGGTTGTCCAAAAAGATACATCAATGGAGATAAAAAAACATTAAAACTCTACTTAAGTGCAGTCACAATGATTTTTAACATCCCATCCCTGCAGGCTCAAAGTGAGGACTCCCAACTCTTCCCCTTTTTCCTGTTTGTGTGCAATGTTAAACTCACTGGTTACTGGCTGTAGCTTCTAATTTACAGTAAACACATTAGAATGATGTGATTATACGCAAGTTTTTGATTGAGCTTCTGTTGAAAAAGTTATCAAACAGACACGCTTCAAAAACCACTATGACGGTTTGTTTCAATCAGACACATTCAGACAGAAACTGGTTGCCTTTGCGTGAAGAGAACAGGAAGCAGTGCAGCAGGGTGGGCAGGGCTGCTGAAGGTCAGCCCAGCTGCCAAAGACCTCGAGCTAACGTCTGAAACACGAAGCAAAGATTGTTGAGCAGCATGGAGAGATTAAGTGGTCAGGCTCATTTCAGGTTGAATCTTCTCCCAGAGATTGAGCTTCATACGTGAGCTGCTGGGAAGTTTCAGGTTGCAGGCACACACACAGACTTATCACACACGTTCTCGGTCTCTAACTGGAATTAAGCAACAACTACACTGACGAGGATTAAAACAACACACACAGACGCACACAAACGATCCATGTCCACAAGTCGTCCATGCCAAGACTGCTAAGTCAATTGCACCTGAAGTCAGAAGATTTACAATATATAAAGATTAAACAATTTAAAAAATAAAGTATTAAGAGTATAAAGAACAATATAAAAGATAAAAGAACAGCAAAATAAATCAAATTGTTATGACAAAAAAGTACACAGTGCATAAAAGAAAAAAGATCTTTCTCACATGTTTCGCCACTTAATAATACAATAACAAATATATTTATTTATTCTTGAATTTTGTACAACTATTATTGCACCGGGGGATTTTCTACATCTGTTGTTGCACAACAGTATATGTATTTTAGTAATGAGTTGTCTGATGTGGTTGGAGTGAGTGGGCTTCGATCAGACAGTTATGGATACAAAACAAGCAAACACTGCAGCTTGAGCTTTCACCTTTGTCCCTTTATGTAGCTCTATAGCAGTCTGATTTTAGTATTTATGGGCTAGGAAAAAGTTGCAAACAGACATGATTAGTTGTACTCATTTAATGTTCTCGCAATCTTTGTTAGACCACACAAACTCGTATCTTCCTCTCCTTACGTTTTGCTGCAAATTAATTAGGAAAAGTGGGCAATTAATTCAAGAAAACACACGTGGGGAATAAAAAAATGTCCTGCTAATACAGACATTTTTCACACAATAAAATACACTTTTTTTAGGTTTAAGGCAAATTAATTTTTCTTTGCAATTCATTAAGATCTTTTCAAACTTCACGCCTATGTCATTCATTATTTTTTGCAAACACGCACCCAGAAGTACACATTGAAATGTTTCAATAGGTAAGGGACTTCTATTCTCGCAGGTAAACTAAAGGCACACACGTAAACATACACACACCTGCTCAGTGCCATCTAATGAGCACGCTATCACCTGGACTCTCCTGCCTCAATTAGCCTCTGTCCCTCTTCACTGAGGAGCTTGCACGCACACACACAAACACACACACACACACACACACACACAAACTCACACTCTCCCATTTATAGAATATACACAATACACTTGTGTCCCCGAGAGGACTTGGCTACTCTCTGCTCTCCTGCACAGTGCAGCACTCAGCTCTTTAACAGCTTTAAATCAACAGACCCAGCCCACACATGGCAACATCACATCACTATAAACTGCACCTGGGAAATCTATAGAATAACAAACAGATATCTGACGCTTTATTATATGTTTATGAAGAAAAAACTGACAAATCTTGCAGCTGTCAGAAAGTCCTCACAGACTAGGGTCAATAATGCTGTATGCAGGCCAGGAATTGTGTGTGTGTGTGTGTGTGTGTGTGTGTGTGTGTGTGTGTGTGTGTGTGTGTGTGTGTGTGTGTGTGTGTGTGTGTGTGTGTGTGTGTGTGTGTGTGTGTGTGTTAGTGTGTGCAGAGTCATGTCAGAGGGAGTGTGTGAAGCAGGGACCGGGGTCTCATATCTCTCTCTGGATCTTATCTCGGTGTCCAGATACAGACAGGAGCTCTGCTGGTTTGTGAGGGCAGCCGAGAGGGCCGCCGCTTCAAGACAGAAACACTTTCTTATCCACAGACTCCTCACTGCACTGCACTCCACTGTGCTGCCCAACGGCCTATTTTTCTGCCTGACTATCAGTCTGCGTCTGTCCTTCTAAAGTCGGACGGACAGTTGAGCAAAATGATTACGTTATGCATTATGCAGCGGTGTCTAATTTTTCATTCTCCTCCTCTGTCTTCTCTCCCGCTCTCAGATCCGATGGGAGAAGAACATCACACTCGGAGAACCACCAGGATTTCTACACTCATGGTGGTGGTATGTATATGCATTGATCCTCTTCTTGACCACACACACACACACACACACACACACACACACACACACATGTTTTTCTACAGCTCACGTTCAGACAGTAGAAGTACTCTTGATGGTTTGAAAGAATGTGCAGGGGTGGAGATGGAGAGTAATTGCAGAGAATGCTGAGTGTATCATCTCACACATGTTTAAGTGCTGTTCTCCTCGCATCCCTCTGATTGACAAGCGAGCTAACTCGCCGTACTCTGTTATTTAAGCTGGAACTGTTTCCTTTCGACCTCAGATCAAAGTGTATACTGTTCGATCGAAGATGAAATCAGACACATATCCACACAGAACAGGAAGTATTACACTGCTGTGGATTCTGTGAGTTTTGGGCGACAATTTTACCCCCTGTTTTTAAGCCTATGTGTTTATTTACACTTTTGGACATTTGCATGATGAAAAGGAGGAAGAATCCGCATTTATCTTTGCAAGGTACACTTAGATGTACAGGTCACGTCAAAAGAAAGTAATGTAAGTGATGTGGCTACTATAGGTGGAACAAAAAGTTTGAGATCATTTTTAACCAACTACCAAAAGCTGAAGGAAAGAGAGGAAAAAGGATCACTGAGATCAAGCCTGCTTGAACCCCTGACTTTTGTATCAGATAACAGAGATAATCTAAGAAAGTACATCACACTGAATATAGCAGTAAATTTATCATGTCTCACAACATCCACATCCACAATCCTTTGGGGATCTGTGTACACATTTGTGGATCAATCGACACAGAGCCGCATCAGTTTTGCACCAATAATATCTCCATACCTTAACCTTTATTTTTTTTTTGAGCACTTGCGTCCTTTACCTTAATGATGGTTAATCCTCATTTATTTCTAAATCTTTAAACAAATCTATAAAATGTCTTAATGGTGACCAGAGGACAGTGTTTTCTATCTGACTGGAAGAACAGGGTCAGTGGGCTTCATGCCTGACACGTACACTGTTTCTCTCCATGTCTGAATGAGAAGGATTGGGAACACCCATATGTAGGATTCCCCCTTTTCCAGTTGTCATGCCAGGAGCTAAAAAAAAAAAAAATCCCTCTAGAAGAGAGGAGCAGACAGGCAGTAAGGAGGAAGCAGGGCAGCTGGAAAGGATGCAGACAAATAATCAAGCAGGCGAACAAGCAGGGAGGTTGAGAGGCTGAATCCTCCGCAAGGCAGCACGAGAGCCAAAGCAAGCCTGGATAAGAGGTTTGACAGGGATCGCTTTGTTTGTCATTCATGCTATCCTGCTCATCCCCCAAAGACCCCCCGGCTGCCCTGTGTAATAAACCCAGACATGCAGCTTCATTCATTCATCCTCTCTCTGGCCCCAGTGTGTGTTGTAATTGTGCAGCCTGTTGACACGGTTCATAATGGTCCTTAAAGAGCCTGGCTTCTCTCAACCTGACAGCTCTCAATTGGACAGCTACCAGTAATACTGACAGAATGACATACACAAACATACAGAGCGGGTTAAGTTTGCCCTCGCCTCCGCCTGAGCCAATAAGAGGGCTCAAGGAGTGTGGAGGGAATAGAGAGAGCGCTCGTAGTTTGTTCTGACTGGATTGATATATTTTAGCTCTGTGTGGGAGATGACCTAGTGTGTGTACATGTGTGTTTGTAGTGTAGGACAATAATTCACTGAGCAGGGCAGGGCTCCAATGTAGTATGACCGAGCTGAGGGGCATCTGTCTGGGCCACTCAGCACGTGGACATGGAGACTCACTGGGGGTGGGGTCCAGAGGGGAGAAAAGGGGTGGGGGGGGGTGGAGTCCTGTGTCCACCAAGCAGACCCCCCTCCAACCTCCAGCCTCCCCCAAAACAAAAGCTCCAGATGGTAGGAAAGCCACCAACCTCCCTCGTCCCTCACTCTTCGCTCCCCCTCCCTCAACCTTTGTCTGGAGGCCTGTCCCTTTGTTTGCGGAAGAGAGACCCTGAACGGATTAACACTTTGCATTCCAGCCTCTTTTGTGTTAAACAGCCAAATCTAAGACGCCGACCCCTCTGCGATAGCAGCCCCGCCCCCCGCCATCCTCCTCCTCCTCAGCACCTCGCTGGGGTTTTCTTCCCTCCTGTCTCTGCGGCTGCTTCCTGTACGATGGTGGTGGTGGTTGTTGGTGTAGGGGGGCTTCCGAATGAACGAGGACTGTAAAACAGGGGGGAGGGGGTGGTGTTGGGGGAGAAAGAGGGGAAGCTGGTTGTGGGGGTCACTCATCCACATCTGTTGTTATGGGTGAAAGGATAAAGAAAAAGCTCAGCAAAGGGCTGCAGGTGTTGATTGTGTCATTAGCTCCCTTTCTATTGGCTGCTGCTAGTTGTCTCCTCCTTATCCCAAAATCGATGGCTTTAACCAGTTTTCACTGGATGGCCTCCAATCCTCAATACAGACCCTCCTCCCCCCATCCTCTAGCCCCCAACACACACGCCAACACACAAAACCTCCACACACATTAAAACGTTAGCACAACTGGCCATTTCTGTTTGACGGCTTACACTGAAATTCTTGTATGAGAGGAGAGGGTCGAAGAGTATAGCAGACCTCTGTTCCAAAACTGCCTTTTATAAACAAACCGTTAACATGAGCCTCCTGGTTGCAGATGTAAGCCAAATGGTCCATCACTGCCAGTTACATCTAAATTAAATCAAGTAATAACAGAAAAACAGTCAATTCAGTTTGTAGCTGGCTTTTAATTGGTAACCAATTTTGGAATCAATTGGCTATCGTCTGATGGCTTCCTGATGATATAACCACTGAGAAAAATGGCCAATATATATATATTACTATTATTTATTTTTTGGGGGAGTAGCTAGAGAAGGAATAAAGGTTATGCTTTGCCAATACTATGGTTTACCTGTGCTTGTCATTGTTTACAGTCTGACTAGCAACTTGAAAAAGGAAAATAGAGTTGAAGTTTAGAGACGGCATCAAGACCAGATTATAAGCTGCTTGTATTTGCACATGTGTGTTTATATTGTTTAATGTAAAGCTAAAACAATGTCCAATTAAAGCCTATGCATTGAGGGTTGTATTGTTGCCGATCTGTTACACCTTTTAAGCTCTCCACACAGGTTTTCCTGCAAATAGCCGATGTACACAGAAAAGCGAGAGGGCAGTAATATGTTGACCACAAACAGACACAAGAACAGTTCTGACACTACATATCTCAGCCTCAACATCAGTGTCTGTATTTATAGTAAAACTCTTTTTAATGTGATGAATTGATAAATAAAATGTCTTCATTAAGTCAAGGAATAAAAAAAAAAAGCAAGAAGCCTTTATTTGGTGTAATGTCACAGTTAGCAGTGGGGGTTACCGTCTTGGAGCAAATTGTAATATTGGTAGACTCCTCAGCGTTTTTATAAATGCACTGAACGACTTTCGTCATTGTCAGGGTGGGCTGCATGTGTCACTCCAAATGTCTGAATTTGTTCACCCTGAATTTATGCTGTCTTTTTTCCTGCCAGTCCTCGTGTTAAATGTGCATGTAATGTTGGGTTTTTTCCGATGTGTGAAACGAGCAGATAATAGTCAGGAACACGCCCCATGAGCTCAAGGCAGGGTGCTGACGTTGAGTGGAGTTTCTTTGCGTTTTACTCACCTTAGTTGTCTGTATTATGTTTCCGACTATTATGTTTGTATTTTCATTCGCGTCTTAGTGATATTAACCCAGAAAAGTTGCCCTAACTGATGTGACCTCTTGTCGCATGCTCTACCCAGGTAATCCCCACTCACTCCAAACGAATCAAGTATAGTATTTGAATTGTGAGAGAGTGTCTGATCATCTCCCGCTGTGAGGTACAAATGTGAAACACAAGTCAGGACCTAATTGTCAAGAAATTGTCAGCAGTTTTTGTGCGGAAGGGGCTTAGGAATAATGTGCTCATGCAGATAACTTAAAAAAAAGAAGAAAAAGAACATCACCTGCAGAGGACTTCTTGAGAATCTTGAAATATGAAACTGCACCTACAAGTGTTTCACTTGCAAAACTTCACAAAGACTTTAGAAGATCTTAAGTTGCTGCATGGATAACTGTGAGAGATAAGACAATAGCAGTTCGAACTTAAAACGAATACTTAGTTGGAATGAACCATGTTCACTTGCTGTGTAGTTGCAGGCCATGAATGCAAGTATTCAATAGAGCACCTTTCGTTCCTCTGTCCAGAAGTTCCGTCAAGCCTCCACCGTGTACCTAACTTCCATGCCACACACATCGAACGGCACTTATTGCTCCTTCTTCTAAAGCCGTCAGTCTTCTTATGATGACAGTTGCTGTAATTATTAGCCATAGTCCAAAGGGAGTGTTCCTGATTTACATGGCACTGTGATGTGCTTGTTTCCTCCTGCTTGATGAATGCTTTGCTGCTACCAGGAGACTTGCTGCTTCTTGAGTCGGGGTAATAAAGACAACTGGAAAGGTTGTGTTTTCCCGCCCCCACTCTTAGATCGCAGCATTTTTTTTCCCATTAAGAAGATTGGGTCTGATAAGAAGAGGATACGGAACTGTGGTCTCTAGGAAACTTTATTTTGGGCCTTGTCTCATAGCCTCCTTCACTCTCTATCTCAGTCTTCATTTCTATGATTATTTATTTCTCCTGACTCGCTAGCTGACTGGCTGAAGACACACGCACACGGGATTATCATGTAGACCTGCCACCAGCAGGCGTGTGTCTGACTTTCTGTGTCTTTGTTTACGCTCCTTATTATAATGGGAAAGCACATTGTATCCACCGTCTTTGTCAGACCACAGTTAATTGCAAATAATTATCGTGATGGCATTTAATTTTAGTAATTGTCTTCTTCTGGACGGCTGGACGCTAATCCCTTCCTCTTCTGTTCTAGATACAAAGTGTGTGTATGTGTGTGTTCTGACAATGCCATGCTCTTATTTTTAGAGCCTTGTTTCTCATTTGAATGAAAGAATGGAAAAAAAGGAGTTTGCATGACGCTAAACTGCAATTTAACTCTGCTCGGTGACTCTTCAAAGTAAATGTATTTTCTTCTGTAAGGAGTTGTGTGGCTCTACTCCCCATAATACAATAAGGAGCTTCCCATGATGAGCTGATTAGATTGAAATGATTAGATAATTGGATAGAACATTTACTATTACAAGGGGGTGCAGAGAACAAGATTTCTCGCAGATTGCTGCTGCTAATTAACCGCAAATGTTGACTTCTAAGATCATTTCTAAAGATTAGTGTTTCTGCAAAGGAAGCAACAACAACATTGACATTGGTTTTCTCTTTAAATGTGGAATTGTCAAATGGGAGTTAACAATGGTCCCATTGAGACTATGCCTGGATTTAAACCCAGTGATACATGGATGGGAATAGACTTTTATAGACTTTTGCAGTGATGTTACATAAGCTGCTTGTCATAAATTCAAATCTAGAGTATTTGGTAATTAACCGATTTTCTTGTGCCCACTTGCTCCTTTTTACACCTTTCTTCCCATTTATATGTTGAAATTATTCCTCCTTTGTAGTGAACCTAATATAATATCAGACCAATCAAAGTTGCTTTTATACCTTTGGTCTTGTCCACCAGCGATCTCGCTTCGGATTATGCAGAGACATCCAGAATATGATTTCCCTGACATGAACAGTTCAGCTGTTCAAATCACAATGTATTTCAGACCTCACAGGCGGTAAGATTTGAAGATCACCTTTTCCCCCAGCTCTTGAGTCTAGACCAGTTTGATTCTTTTCTGTGACAAACTGTAACCTGCGTCTCGTTTCATTTCCCTGAGAGGTGATTGGATTTGCGATGGTCGCGCCTTTTCACGTGGCTGGTGTCTGACAGAGCAGCAATCTCTTTAACACCAAGCGATAGATATGATAATGCACACTGGCTTTATTGTCGAGTGACAGAAGGGCCGCACAACACACACAGGACATGTGTGTGTCACCGGCGTCTTTGCATAGCTCTTCTCTGTTCCTTCAGCTGCGTTGTCGTTGAGAGGGGTCCCTGTGCTGGCAGTGTAGATCAGAAGATTTTGTTGTAATAATAAGCAAAAGTGATTCTCTGACAGTTGTAGCTGCTCTTAACATCAGCACACAGAATGCGTGTTTCACTGTATTTGCCTTCATTAAAATGTTGGCGTACATTTCCTCTCATAATTTCAGCTGCTTCTTTTTTTATTCTCTGTCCATGAAATCTATATCTTGAAGAAGGAGAGGTCTTTCAAGTAGTCTGGCTTAGCAGGTACTTAATTTCAGTGCAGTAATTAAGGGGTCCATTTGGAGAGGGACCTGGTGGCCCCTGCTGCCCTGGAGGAGTCGGATTGGTCTAATTAACTAATATGAGCACGGCTGATTGGGCAGTAAGTAACATAATCACAGCTGATTGGTCAATAATGTGCAGGTCGCCAGGGCAGGCTGAGAGCAACATTTTTCTAAGCAAAAAACATGAAATTTTTCTGTCTCCTCTAAAGCGAGGCAGCAGTGGATATACCGTACGCCTGTTTAATGAGTCCTACATGAAATGAAACTTAATATAGTTGAGTATAAGAAAGCTTTGTTGACCAGAACAAGCAATTTAAATACCTCCATTTCTGCTATGAGATTTTTGTTTTAACCAAACGACACAGTTAATCGTCTTCTAAGTATTAAGCTGTCATTACTTTCCAGGTCTTGCTAACATGTTTTTATTGTAAAGTTCGAACTTCTATAAAAGAAATTTTAGCAACTGACAAGTAGTAAAACAAACAAAAAGACAACAAAACAGGCAGGAAACAACAACAGACATTGATAAAAGAAAACAAAAATGAGTTACAATCATTTGGTGAGCACCATTCATGCATGACAACCACAAATACACCACATGTGCTCTGCACTCATTTCTACATGTACTTGATCAGATGTTTCCAACTGTATACAATTACTTTGTGGATTAGATTAGATTAGATTTGGTAAAAAGAGCACATTACTGAATTTTATTTTAATGGAAGGCACATCCCATTGCATCTGTCTGATATTAAACACATCTATTAAAATACAACTCTTTCATTTAGTCGTTGAAGTTGATTTGTTGTCCACTCATATCACATTCACTTAGATCAGTCTACATAAACATATCATTATTAGGTAATTGCAACCATATCCTCACTATAAACAAACAAACCAGGGACATAATGTGTTCCTGTCTCTCACAGTGAAGTGTCTGACTGCTGCTGCTCTCTTGTCTCGTGTGCACAGTGTATTCTGGGATCTGTACTGCGCCGCCCCGGACCGGAGGGAGACATGTGAACATTCCAGCGAGGCCAAGGCTTTCCATGACTATGTAAGTGAACTTCACCAGCACACTGGTTGTGTGCATAAATATACACACCTTCACTGGTTGGACACACACACTCTGACTCACATATGGTTTTAAGCACATGAGAGCGTGCGCTGAGTGTGTATCAGAGTGAAGAGGCAGTTCTGTGTGTGATAATGCTGCTGGTTCTTGTTTTGACATGTCTGGTCTGCTGGGGATGGGACAGACTTGGAGGCAGACGTCTGAAATAGCGTTGGTTTAAAAATACAGCACCTTTGAACACATTTTATGAGAAAGCCTTTAGACTCCCAGCTTGTAATTTTGAAAGTCTTATAGTTGTTCTGCTTCCATTCACATGATCAGCTTGGATTAGATATCAGTTTTCCCTCATGTGAATGACTCTGCAGCTCATTTGCTGGCTGCACTTCCTCAAACGCTGACCTCTGACCCTTGAGGACTTGTCCAAAGTGTGGGCCAGAGGTAAAAGGTCATGTGGCTGCCTGGCTATTTATTGGTCCACTCAAGGCTTCACAAAAAGGTCAAAGCACATAAAGCAGCTGGCTGATCACACGGAGCACATTAATGTGCACATTGCCAAACAATACATGCACACATAGAGAACATGTTAAGAGCTGGAAAGACTCTGCTCGATGTGGCTGCAGGGGTCGGACTAGGTGATGAAAGGTCAGGGTCCATGGCCCCCCTGACCCTGCTCGTCTTGTGGAGAGAAAGAGCATTCGATCCGTAACCTATGGAACACACGTACACACAAACAATTGAAGAGGCGGTTGAGTGGATTGTGGGTCTTTGTTGGTCCAGCTCGAATTAATGCTAATGACGAGTTTGACGTGATCGTTGTCCTTTAAACTCTTATTTTCTGTCGGTTTTGGTCTTGAAAATTGAAATGTTTCATATAACCATGAATGTCTCACACTGTAACAGATATTTGAACTGTGTGTCCTGAGATGTATTTTAACTAAGGATTACAAAGATGTTGTGTGGTCCAGGGTTGCACGATACGTCATCCAACCACAGAGCACAAAAATCCCATTGGACGGGTGATGTCAATCATGTGACCTGGAACATGTCATGCCGCCACCTTTTATGCTTGATGCAAAAGAAAACCTTGTCAGTTTCTTGTCTTTCCTGAGCAGTCCACATGAAAAGTCTGTCATCTCTACATTAAAAGTCTAATATCACTTAAGTATAGCCCCTCACTTGAACACACAGATGTCTGACCACTGTGCAGATCTGTCTGTCTCCTGCTTGTAGATGTAAACATGCATGTATCGCTGCTGAGTCACAGTAACCCCGACATGATGCTGAAGGCAGAAGCTCAAGGCAGCTTTTCAGTGAGAGTTTTCCTGCTATTAGTTGCACCTCATCCCAGTGCTGCTTTGCGTTGTGGCGCAACTTCCCACTGTTAACGGAGGGAATGCACCTCAGAGGGTTTCGTTTCAGAGGCTACACCTGCAGCAAAGTACAGTGAGATGTTGTATGAGTCACAGGCAGGACAAGATTGCGTGCTTTTGTTAAATAAGAAGTTACACGGATAAAAAGTAACTTGTAACATTCTTAGAAAGGTTTGAAGACATATAAATAATAAATATATATATGAATAGTCAATTGCGGGTCAATGTTTTCAAAAAAGTCTATAAAGAAAAGTGTTGTTCCACTTGTTGTCTCGCTACTTCTCCATGTGTGTGTCAGATCTACTGTCAGAATGCTGGACCCAGAGAAGGTTGGAAGAGAGGGGGCATCTGTTAATCAATTATGGACTTGATTGAAATTTAAAAATGTATTTAACCAACTGCAATTATCTGCTACCATTTCCTGGTATTTCTTTTCATATCACAATGTATGGCAGAATGAAAACAAAAAATATCCCACTGTACATTTCTTTTATGTGCATCCTTAGTCTGGCTGGACTTCTTTAACCAGTAGATTATGATTCCACCTGTGCAGAAATGAAACCTGAAATGGATTAGCTGTGCTGCTATTCTTACCATGTGCTCTTCATTCAGGCAGTTTTAGCCGTTAGCCAGTCATCCATTCAGCTGAACTCTCTTATGAGGTTTGACAGCAAAAGTGTGAGCACTTGTCAGCCGAACAGATTACATTTGTTGTGCATGTACTGTGCATGTGTGTGTGTGTGTGTGTGGGCATGAGTTGATTTGTGTGCCTCCATCTCCATCTGTGTGTGTGTGTGTGTGTGTGTGCATGTGTTGGACCACCATAAGATTAATTACATGGTTAATTAAACTGAGTAGTTAATTAAATCTGACAACTGTGTCTAATTAATCTAAATGCAATATAATTTCCTACACCTTTCTCCAGAGGTAGGCCAGCTGGATACCTGCATGTCAGCTCTTTAACGACTGCTGTTTGACAGGCCTGGACAATATACGACTGAACCTCACATTCTGCTGCTGTAAAACCGCACATTTTAAAGGTGTGTGTGTTTTTGTCTTTGACTGCATAAATTAGTCAGCTGAAGGACAGGGTCATTAATGCTGCTGCTTTTGACCTTAGAGGGGATGAAAAAAATAGGGAATTGATCTTTTGGAGTAAATGGTGCTCTATGAGGTCTGATGAGCTTGGTTTTTAACAGGCTTAATATGACTTTGTTCGAGTTCAAGGATATAGACTGTTATTTGATCTTTGACCTGGCCCAGGTTCAGGAGGTCAGAGAATCGAAACTGTCTGAGTGGGAGAGCTGATTTGACATAGATCTTTTGTTAAAAGTGATGCTTTGTAACATTTTCTTCGAAAGAAATATTCAAATCCAGGACTCTTTTTTTCTTTGGTACCGTCTCATGATTCCCTCAAATGTTTTAGACCTCTTGAGGATCTTTTTTTTTTGCATATTTCCTCAATCTTTGGCTCATATATTCAATACCAAATTTGGGGATCTTTACTTCATTTTAAGGTAAAGTTATACGTCTTTGATGTTGTTTAGCTGCACAGCATGAGTTGGTAGTAATTGACCCAGGGGGGCGCTACTTTTTAGTCGAACTGTTTCTTAATAAAGGAATAATACTTTTTTTTTAAATATAGTTTATTTTTTGTCCTCTTTGACTTGCTGGTGTGTTGAATATAAATGCTGGACCTACAGTCTACAGTGAGGCATGACAATGAAGCATGCACAGAGGGTGTGGCAGAGGTTCTGACAGCACCAAAATCCAAGAGGAGGTGTGTTTATGCTCAAGTATATGTATGTGTCCGTTGCTGTTTGTGTGTGTTTTTGTGGGTTAGTGTGACAGGAGAGGGAGAGAGAATGTCAGGGTCGCTGCGTGTGAATCCCTCGGGTGTTCAGGGGTCTGTGCGTCTCTGATTAACTCCAGCTCCTCGGTCCCCGCAGACCCACGGCCCTGATCGAGTCTCTATCACGGCCCCTGCTGATAACGGCTCCCTCATCCCCCCCTCAGTCCCCCTGGATCACAGAGGGAAAAACAACACGATTCCCTGGAGTAGCACACACGCTGTGTGTGAAAGTGAAAGATGACCGCACAATAAATTGTTTTTTTGTTTAATTATTTTATAGTTTATAGCATAGACTGTGAATAAACTTGGGCAAAACCCGAGTGATGTCACCCATTGGTGACGTAAGGGGGCCTTTGAAGCCAGTTGATGGTTGTCGCCATGCTGGAAATCCTGTCTCCTTCAGTCCACCTAACAGCAGGGTAAAAGCTGGAGGTGAGATGGGTCTAAAGCCTCCTGACAAACAGCTACAGGTCAGCCACGCCCCTTAATATGAATAACTCTTATCCTCCATAAAATCAACACGGGTGGCTAATACAAAAAACACCTATGTGTGTGCCGATAAAGACATGAGCTATTCAGAGCAATTACCATTTTTTGTGTTAACTTCTGCAGTAAAAGTGGCATTTTTTAATGTGGCTTCTGTAGCCAGCCTCAAGTGGACCCTCGATGAACTGCAACACCAGAGGTTTCCGCTCGATTTATCATCTCTGGTAGTGTGTTGTCGTGCTTACCAAAGAGAAAATGTTAGTGCGTGGCTGTAAAATTTATGTTTTGAAATAAAGTTTGGTTATTTGTTTCCCAGAACTAATCCAGTTGCTAGGCAACATTGAGATGGAGTACAGTCTTAGTTTCAGATTTGGTTTGGCTTGGCTCAGTTTGGCTCAATTTGGCCCCTCTTTGAAGGCACCTCTTACTCAGCATTGTCCTACTGGCCTTCATTGTGAGCGCTGATGTAGACTTGGTGGACTCTCCAGTTTGGGGGAAGATAATGGAATATAATGTGCTAATCCTCAGATCTGGGGACTGGTTGACAGCTAATCCAGGGGAATGCTGGGATAGGAGCCCTGGCTGCACTCCCAGAACTGGAGGCCTCTCGCTGGTTGGCTTCACCCCTGGATGGTGCATCTGCAACCGTAGCCACTCGAACTCTCACATAAACACACCGGGGCATGCTTTGTGGGTATCACACACCCACACTGGAATGCAAATGAATGCACACACACTCAAAGAGAGCAGGATGACAGTGTATGATACAGAGCTGGAACAGCCTGAAGTCTTGTACCTCTGTAATGTCGTTTAAGTGGTTTCTCTTGTTGTCTTAATTGTGGGAGTTTTGTTTCTGTCCTTCCTCTTCACATTGTCTTTTAATCACGTTTATTCCCTAAAAGAGATCGACGTGTCTTATTATCCTTTTTTTCTGCTGGAATTTGGATGTTCCACAAAAGAGCACTTTGTTGAGGAAACGTGTTTGATTATAAGAACATGGCACGTCTTTAGTAACTCAGTATGAATGATGAAAGGACGGGAGCTTTGTAATGAAGAAAGCCTACATATTGACGAGCACACACACACACACACACATTCTCACATAAAAGTGGGCAGAAGTGTCTGTTTTCTCCCTCTCAGATACACACTTTAGCAGTCACAGACAAACAGTCTTTTTCAGGAAATGATACACCAGGCCTTGTTGTCAGAGACATTTTGCTTTGCCCCAGCCAGGGGTCGTGACCCCAAACATCTGCGATTCATGCCAATCCGGG